AATTTTTCTTACCTTCTCACCATAGAATTATATACTTACCATAGAATTAAGTATGAAATACTTGCCTTCTCAGCGTAGAATTCAAAAAAAAAAAAAACACCAGAATTTCACTTTTCACAGTCGCGACCCAAATTTGCCCTGTTTTAGTGGAGGAGAAGAAAAATTTTTTACTTTTTAATTTTTGGGTTTTCACATTCTCAGTGATTTATGCTGTAATTTTCCACGCGACTGTGAATATACTGTAATCAGTTTTTTGCTCCTTGGAGAAGAAATTTAATTTATAATTGGTATAAGTCAATAAATCCACAACCTTAGTAAATAATTATGCAAACTACGCTACAAAATGTGTTGGCCTTCAGTGCGCTGGAGGCCATTTCGAAATAGTGCGTTTGTAAGATTTTTTTTTAGACAAATTTCGCTCTCAAATTTTTGTGACCAATTTCTCCTTATTTTTTTCCCCAAATAAACTTCACTATCCATTTTCACACTGAAATTTTAAAAATATTCACTCACATAAGTTTCAGGTTTCTTAGCTAAATTCTTTTTTCCGGAAAATCCAAGTTGCCTTATTTATTTATGAAAGGAAAAAAATAAAATCTGGTAGGCAGGGCGTGATACTCTCTTTGCCTTTAAACGGCGGACGTCACACATAAATGAGCTGCACTCACGAGAAAGTATACGATCACTTGATCATATCTCGAAAGGCAGCGCACATACATCGAACAGAAGTTGAGTAATAACTGAAGATATGCAGTTCAGGACCGAAGGGCATAGCATAGCTGCGCGCAGTGTATGGAGGACATATCAGCAGCATCACTAGTTTCAAATAAGCACACTAATAGTCCCAGCATTTTGTTATTCGTGATAGTATAAACAAACAGTCAGTAATGAGATAGCAGGAATCTTTTTTGGGAAAGCAGTAACAGGGTGCGGTTTCCCAAGTACATTACGTTATATTTGTGGCAGATGCCTCTTTTTCTTCAAGTCCCGAAGAAAAAGGAGAAAAGTGGACATCACGCCAGAGGTAAAGAAAACAATTTTTGATTCAAAAAATGCACTTGAAATTAATTTTTGCAGCACTTCATGCAAAATACCACCCGTGAGGAACCACTTGTTTTTAGACTCCTCCGTTGGGAAAGCTCACTCGGTATGATTCCATTTGTTTTTAGGCCCACTCTGTACGATTCGTTCATTCGTTTCGACTGTGGTAGTGACATACGCTAGAAACCAGCTTGCTTCGAATGTGAGAGCCGTCGGCTGTTTTGCCAACGTGTGGTTGCTTTTCGTACTGCTAAGTGGTTCCGCTTTTCTTAGAGAGTGCAAACAGAGAGGGTCTTGACTTTCCGACTTTTTTAAATTTGCCAATTCATTAGCTATTGACCAGCTCTATCTTCGCCTATAAATTTCCAGTTCCATCCCGTAAGAATATTCATCGACGGAAAGAGTCTTGACCGTTGGCTGCAATCCTGTTCTAACCAGTGCGCTTTGTTTCAATGTGCTAGAAAGGAAAGCTTTATTGAATGCAATTTGTTTGAGATGTTAGAAGCGTATTTATTAATATTATAACTAAAATACACCTTGAGTGGTGAATACAAAATCCGGGAGTGCACGAATCTCTGGCTCAATTTATATTTCAAGGAAAGCAAAAAAAACCCAAGTTGACGTATAGACATAACACATCCAGGCACAACAACACCGCGAAAAAATGAGGCATAAGGACCGGAAATATCTCATTTACAGAGCATAACCTTGAGAAAATAACGAGGGAGCATGCTCCGGAATGAATTATAAGACAACACTATATCCAGAAGGAAAGGGAGAAGTTCGGAAGTTACAATTTGTCAAAAAAATGCTTAGGGTTCCCCCGAAAGATTCAAAACGAAAAGGCTCAAAATTTTTTGTTTCTTGGATTTTTCCACTTTCTTTGACAGGATATAGCTCATATATGTCACATATTTGAGAGTTCTGTGAGGAAGCAGTCT